TAGCTGTGGTCAAATCACAGCTAAGCAAAAAAAAAAAAAAAAACCTGACTGAATCGATGTCATTCAGGTAAATGATTGCTTATAGCAAAGTAATTTTTTGCTATAAACAAATTGTGTAAAAAAAAAAAAAACCAAAGTAGTACAGTGTTACTATGGTAACATTGTACTACTTTGGTCATAGTAAAATATGAAAAAACAATCTTGACAAAATAAAAAAAAATTTAATAAAAAATTAAAAATAATAAAAAAAAACAAATAAAAAAAAATATTTTTTTTTTTCATACTGTCACCAGTCAGTGTCCCTGTTCACTGCCATGCCAGTTATATGATGATGCTGTACTGCACTGGTGACAGTATGTAAAAAAAAATAGTGAAAATAATTTTTTTTATTTTTTAATTTTCCGAAAAATTATGACAAAAAAAATATAACTTCAAAAAACTCACCATGCCTCTTATGAAGTACGTCGGACTGTCTAAAAAGGGGTCATTTGAGGGATATCTGTACTATTCTGACATTCTTGGACCTCAAGAAATTAGATTGGCTATCAGTACTTCAGGATTGATCAATATTCAGATCTATACCATAGTTTGTGAACTCTATAACTTTCCTACAAACTAAATAATACATCCCAATTTGGGTTATTTTCACCAAAGTCATGTAGCAGAATACATCTCGGCCTAAATTTATGAAGAACAATTATTTATTTGCAAACTTTTATAACAGAAACAAAGAAAAACGTGTTTTTTTTCACAATTTTTGGTCTTTTTTTGTTAATTTAGCAAAAAATAAAAACCCCAGCGGCGATTAAATACCACCAAAAGAAAGCTCTAGTTGTGTGAAGAAAATGATAAAATTTTAGTTTGGGTACAATGTTGTATGACCGCGCAATTGTCATTCAAAGTGTGAGAGCGCTGAAACCTGAAAACTGGCCTGGGCAGGAAGGTGTAAAATTGCCTGGTATTGAAATGGTTAAATAATCAAATTTTTCCAAAGAACCCCCAAAAAACCAATATATGGATGTTTCTTGAGTAGATTGTGTTGTTTGAACAACCCAAGGAAAGACAATATACTTGCCTTTTAAACATAGAATAACAGGTATCAGTTGTTCTACAACGATGAGGCTTCCAGGAAAACCAAATTTTATTTACACAACATTATTTAAGAATTAGCTGGAGAGGGAGAGGGAGAGGGAGAGGGAGAGAGAGAGGGAGAGAGAGAGGAGGGAGAGGGAGAGAGAGAGGGAGGGGAGAGAGAGAGAGGGGGAGGGAGAGAGAGGAGGGAGGGGGAGGGAGAGAGTGAGACTGAGAGACACGCATAACTGCTTGCCCTCGAGAGGATTTACTCCCCTTCCTGAGCAGGCCATTTTTTGTGTTATGGCTCTGCATTACTTTAACTGACAATTGCATGGTCATGCAATGCTGCACCCAAATGAAATTTATGTCCTTTTCTTCCCCACAAATAGAGCTTTCTTTCAGTGGTATTTGATTGGCTGTGCGGTTTTTTTTATTTTTTGCGCTATAAAAAAAAAAGACTGACAATTTTGAGAAAAAAACATTTTTTTTTACTTTTTGCTTTAAACATGTCCAGTAAAAAAATAAAAAAAATAAAATTTCGAATTTAGGCCAAAATGTATTCTGCTACATGTCTTTGCTAGAAAAAAAATCCCAATACATGTAAATTAATTGGTTTATGTGAAAGTTTATAGCGTTTAAAAATGGTGGTATAGATACTGGAATTTTTTTTTTTACTAGTTATGGCGGTGATCAGCGACATAGCAGAACTGCGGCTTGCATTCTGACACTGGGGGAGCTTGGAGTCACTGACATTCCTAATACAGTGATCAGTGCTAATAAAAATCACGGACACTGTACTAATGGCACTGGGCAGGAAGGGGTTAACATGTGGGACGATCAAAGGGTGTTTCCTGTTTAACAGTAAGCTGTGCCTGTGCTTTCAATTGTAAGCACACTGCTTTGAATGTCTCTGCTTTGAAGAGCCATACAAAGCAGCACGCTGGAGCTGACAGGGGAGAGAACTGTATTGTTTACATACAGTTCTCTCCCCCCGTAGGTAATACTCGGCGATCACCGGGTGCCGACGGGTGATCACTGGCCGGGACCCCGGTGATTGACAGTAGAGGCCGCGAATAGCGCCCCCTACCCAGAAATGCAAAATCATATATATATATATATATATATATATATATATATATATATACAGTGGGGATCGAAAGTTTGGGCACCCCAGCTACAAATTTGTATTAATGTGCATAAAGAAGCCAAGGAGAGATGGAAAAATCTCCAAAAGGCATCAAATTACAGATTAGACATTCTTATAATATGTCAACAAAAGTTAGATTTTATTTCCATCATTTACACTTTCAAAATAACAGAAAACAAAAAAATGGCGTCTGCAAAAGTTTGGACACCCTGCAGAATTTATAGCATGCACTGCCCCCTTTGCAAAGCTGAGACCTGCCAGTGTCATGGATTGTTCTCAATCATTGTCTGGGAAGACCAGGTGATGTCAATCTCAAAGGTTTTAAATGCCCAGACTCATCTGACCTTGCCCCAACAATCAGCACCATGGGTTCTTCTAAGCAGTTGTGTCTAGAAAACTGAAACTGAAAATAGTTGATGCTCACAAAGCTGGAGAAGGCTATAAGAAGATAGCAAAGCGTTTTCAGATGTCAATATCCTCTGTTCGGAATGTAATTAAGAAATGGCAGTCATCAGGAACAGTGGAAGTTAAAGCAAGATCTGGAAGACCAAGAAAAATATCAGACAGAACAGCTCGCAGGATTGTGAGAAAAACAATTCAAAACCCACGTTTGACTGCACGATCCCTCCAGAAAGATCTGGCAGACACTGGAGTTGTGGTACACTATTCCACTATAAAGAGATTCTTGTACAAATATGGTCTTCATGGAAGAGCCATCAGAAGAAAACCTCTTCTACGTCCTCACCACAAAAATCATCGTTTGAACTTTGCAAATGAACATATAGACAAGCCTGATGCATTTTGGAAACAAGTTCTGTGGACCGATGAGGTTAAAATTGAACTTTTTGGCTGGAATGAGCAAAGGTACGTTTGGAGAAGAAGGGGCACAGAATTTAATGAAAAGAACCTCTGTCCAACTGTTAAGCATGGGGTTGGATCAATCATGCTTTGGGGTTGTGTTGCAGCCAGTGGCACAGGGAACATCTCACGAGTAGAAGGAAAAATGGATTCAATAAAATTTCAGCAAATTTTGGATGGTAACTTGATGCCATCTGTGAAAAAGCTGAAGTTAAAGAGAGGATGGCTTCTACAAATGGATAATGATCCTAAAACACACCTCAAAATCCACAGGGGGATTACATCAAGAGGCGTAAACTGAAGGTTTTGCCATGGCCTTCACAATCTCCTGACCTCAACATAATTGAAAATCCATGGATAGACCTTAAAAGAGCAGTGCGTGACAGACAGCCCAGAAATCTCAAAGAACTGGAAGACTTTTGTAAGGAAGAATGGGCAAAGATACCTCAAACAAGAATTGAAAGACTCTTGGCTGGCTACAAAAAGCGTTTTCAAGCTGTGATACTTGCCAAAGGGGGCAGTACAAGATATTAACTCTGCAGGGTGCCCCAAACTTTTGCAGACGCCATTTTTTTGTTTTCTGTTATTTTGAAAGTGTAAATGATGGAAATAAAATCTAACTTTTGTTGACATATTATAAGAATGTCTAATCTGTAATTTGATGCCTTTTGGAGATTTTTCCATCTTTCCTTGGCTTCTTTATGCACATTAATACAAATTTGTAGTTGGGGTGCCCAAACTTTTGATCCCCACTGTATATATAGTGGCAGTGCAGTATCCTGCCACGGTGGAAGTCACGGTGGTGACCCAGGATTCTCGACTATACAGGTTGAGGGGCTCCAGGCAGTTCTCGTAATGCAGAAGGAACTGATTTATCAGTTTCCTCTTTGGTTTGTACAGCCTTTTTTGTGACCTGTGGCCTGGAGATTTCTAAGATATTTGGGAGGGATGAAATCTCCAATCCTGGGTCCAGGTTTTGAGAGAAGCCAGCACACTGATTGCGCAGCTGTGTGCAGGCCTTTTTGTAGAGGCCCAAACCATGATTCTGGGCTCCACCCTGGCATACAGGAGGTCACTGCCTTGGAGAGGTGGAAGCCAGAGGCTTGCTGTGTGCAAAACAACCATTTTGGATAGAGCCTGCAGGAGACAGACGTAAATTGGTGTACAAGCCAGGAGGCTAAATATTTGTTGCATTTGTTGGATGATGGATACCCCTGCATGGGAAGTATGTTATTGAACTTTTGTTTAAATAAAATTGGGCTAAAAGGCCTTTAAAAAGAAGAAGAAGCGAGTTGCTGTGTGCTTTAAAAAAGAAAGCGCTACCATTTTGATACGAGTTCCCAATATATATATACACACACACACACACACACACACACACACACACACACACACACACACACACACACACACATATATATATATATATATATATATATATATATATATATATATGTGTGTGTGTGTGATTTTGAGCACCCCTGCTGCCCTGTAGCAGTATTTCTGCTATAGGGCGGCGGGAAAGTGGTAAAAAATAATGCACAAATAACAAAAATGACATTATTGTTGACATCACCATGAAATAAATACAAGTGAAAATGATAACTGCATTGTAGCACGAAATATGTCTAAGCTGGTGATGACCATCCACTATGCTGAATGCTTATCGGGTGCCGGCATAGTGTTAATCAAAGACTTTGTTATAGAAGTTAAACATGCAAATGCTATTGTATTACCTCTGTGGTGCTATATGCTCCACAGAGACTGTTGTTTCTGGTTATTTATTTTTACAAATTTAATGAAGGCATCTTGGCTTTAGTGACCTCTGGTCAAGAAAGAGTTAAGTAAAGCATTGCCATATTATTGTGTGTTCATTATATTCTAAACAAGCACATATAAACAGAATGATATTAATACTTACATCGGGCTCCAAGGTGACACAGCGCTGAAAAGCTCTTGCTGCTCCCTCATATCCTTGCAAAGTAATGTAGGCACATCCCAAGGAAAACCATACTCCAAGCTGAAGCAGGAAAACACAGACATTAACTTATCTAATCTATATGATATACAATCAAAACCTTTCATTATTGAGGGCAAATTTTATGGTTGTTTTCATGAAAATGTATATACAGTACTATATACTCTAAGTTTTAAAATCTTTTTGATTTTTTGGAAAATATACCATCCAAATTTTTCCACTTTGCTCTCATCTATATGGTATAATTCTTCCAATATGTATATATATATATATATATATATATATATATATATATATATACACTTAACTCTTTCCATCCAATCCTTTATTTTTGGGGCTTCTGTTGTTTGTCAGTATTTAGGAATAAGGCTTTTGGCTGCATTTAAAAGATGGACCAACATCATATTTTTATATTGCTTCACCAAAAGCTCTGATGTATAAAATAGGCAAACCATGGGTCCATCGGTACACTACTTCTCCGGATCTCTTGTGTATATATATCTCCCTCCAAAACTGTATTTTGGGACAGTCCCACCAGATGTCGGCCATTGTACCTTTACTCCCACATCCCCTGCAGCATTGGGCTGAGACCTCTGGTCTTAATTTATGCATCACGTTAGGAGTAATATACCATCTAACCAGACATTTATAATTCATTTCCACTATATTTATATTTACCGCTCCATGTCTTAAACTAAACATTTTAATTATTTGATGCTCATTCAATTTTGTTCCAAGCTCCATTTCCCACTTTTCCAAAATTATTTGGGGTACCGATCCCAGTAAGGATTCTATAAATACTAGATGTAGTGTGTTTTTGTGTTCTATTTGTCCTCAACAGTTCTAGAGGATACATTTCTTCCTCTGTCCCTAGTGGTTGTAGGAGCTTATTTAACCATACCACCACTCACCTAGTGTAGAAAAAATTTCCTTTCTTATTCCTCAAATCATGTAAAAAACATATAACCCCTTTATCCACAATATCTTTTAAACGTGCATTTCTACCAATAATCCATTTCCCTGAAATATCATTCCCGGGCAGAAAAAAATTAGTTCCTGCCAATGGGATTGCCGCTTGTGTAATTCATCCCAAATCTTAAATACATTCCGTGTCAAAGTACTCATCCCAAGTACGAAATTCCTGTGGTATCCAAATATACTTATCTAATGGTGCCTTACTAAGTGAACTCTCCATTTTTACCCACCTTCTCCCCTGTGCATTATATATCCACTCTACAATTCGTGATAACACTAAATTATATCATCTCTTGAAATCCGGAGTATTTAATACCACTTTTTTTTTGTTACTGTATAAAACTTCGTATTTAACTCTTGGTTTTCTGTTAACCCACACATATCTGAGTATCATTTTTTTAAAGAAACCTAAAAAATGACCCCGGAAGAGGTATTGGGAGCAAATTAAATTTACACAACTTTTGGTACTATTATCATCTTAATTATATTTATCCTCCCTATCCAGGACTGCTTTCCCGTAGAAGCTTTCCTCAATTCATCCTTTATCTCATTTATCAATGGGATATAATTTGCCTGATATATTTTTTCTTTATAGACGATGTTAATTTTATTCCCAAATACTTTAGTTCTTTTTCTCTCTATTTAAAGGGGAATTCTTTTTGTAAAGTTTGTTTCTCAGCCTTTGGGACATTTATATTTGAGATCTCACTTTTCAATGGGTTGATTTTAAGGGTAGATAGCTCTCCATATTCTTTCAGTTTTTTCATTAAATTTGGTAATGTTAATCTGGAGTGTGCTATATAGAACAGCATATCGTCTGCGTATGCTGCCACTTTACGTTCAGTATCCCCCAACCACATTCCCTTGACATCTACGTTATTTCTAACAGTTGCTAATAATGATTCTAAGGAGATCACAAATAGCAATGTGGATAGGGGACATCCCTGTCCAGTTTCATTTAACATTCTAAAAAATTTGGATAGTGAGCAGTTTACTTTTACTGCAGCTGAAGGATCTCTATATAGCTCATTTATCCACTGCATCATTCTAGACCTGATTCCTAATGTTCTCAGTATATTGATAAATAAAGCCCCAATCTACTCTATTAAAGGCCTTTTCAGCATCAACCGACAGAGATTTCCGGAACCTCTCTTCTGTCATTTATTTGAAGAATAAATAATGTTCTTAAACCATTATCTTTTCCCTCTGTACCCGGGATGAATCCCACTTGATCTAAGTGTATTCAGTCAGACATCAGCTCTTTCAGCCTTGTCGCTAACACCTTCGCATACAGTTTTGTATCAGTATTCAACAAAGACATAGGTCTGTAGCTGGTACACTGAGACCAATCTTTCCCTTCCTTGGGTATAACTGTGATATATGCCTGTAGTGACTCCTCCATCATCTTTGTCTCCTCTCCCAGAGCATTCATATAAATTCATAGTTTAGGGGCTAATTGTTCTTTAAACTTCTTATAGTATCCCACTGTGAATCCATCTGGTCCTGGGCTCCTCCCTATTGCTGTGCCCTTTAATGCCATGTTGACTTCAATTGATATTGGGCTACCTAAAGTTTTTAATCTGGCTTTATTTAATCCAGGCATACTGGTCTTGTTCAAATAAATCAACCTCTTCTTCCTTCTTCTGATTCATTCTGATGTTTACGTTTTGACCCATATAGCCTACTATAAAATCTCTAAAATGTGTTGGCGATGTCAATGGTTGAATACACCATCTCTCCTTTTTCATCCTTAATTCTATTTATAAAGTTCTTTGATTTCTTTTCCTTCAACTTCTTCAATAAGTATTTTCCTGGTGTATTCCCCCACCGATATCTTTCCTTCGAAACCCTACTAAAATTTTCCTTGTTTCTTGTTCCATACTCCTTTAACTCCTCTCTTTTTAATATTATCTATTGTTGTAACTCTATATTTATCTTCTTTTTATGTAATTGTTTTAACTGATATAGTTCTTCTGTTAATATTCTAATTCTTTTTCCCCTGCTCTTTCTTTATCTCCGCCCCTATTGCTATCAGTATGCCCTTATTATAGGCCTACTGTGCTTCCCATACCGTGGCGATAGAAACTTCCTCAGACTCGTTTATCTTAGAGTATTGATCTATTTCCTGTTTTACTCTTATTTCCGCTTCTGGATTTTGTAAGATGATCTCATTTAATCTCCACATATTTATTTTACTCTGCTCCTTTCCAAACAGTAGTCTCAGTGTGACAGGGGCATGGTCCAATATAGATATTACATATATATTAGTTTTCACCAAAGACTCCAAAAGTCTATGTTCAATCAACATATAATCCAGTCTTGAATACATCCTGTGCGCCACAGAGAAGAAGGTATAGTCCCTTTCCTTTGGGTGGTCAACCCTCCAAGCATCCATCAACTGGCATTGATGTAGCTTTTTTTTTAACCACTTCCCGTCCAGCCCATGTACATAAACGGCCGGAAGGGAGCAGTGCAGGACCGGGTTGCCGTTCATAAACTATGAACGGCAACTGTACTGGTGACACTGTACTGCTAGGGTGACAGTATGTTAAAAAAAAAAAAATAAATGTAAAAATGTTTTTTAAAAATTATAATTTTTGGTTATAAACTAATTTGGGTTATTTTTTTTTACTAAAAAGATAACTGAATACATTTTGCCAATATGTATGAAAGATTATTTATTTGCAAAATTTTATAAACTTTTTTTCCACAAAAAAAAAATCCCAGTGGTGAATAAATACCACCAAAATAACGTTTTAGCTGTCTCAAAATGCTAATAAATGTATATGGGTGTTGCATGACCGCGCAATCGTCATTCAAAGTGTGATAGCACTAAAAGCTGAAAATTGGCCTAGACAGGAAGGGGGTAAAAGTGTCCAGACTTGAAGTGGTTAATATTCCTTACACTCCTATCTCCCTCTCTCCTGGCGGACGAAGAGGCATCTATCCGTGGGTCCAAGCAAAAATTTAAATCGCCTGCCACAATCACACTATCCCTTTTAAAGACTGTAAGCTTTGCCACTCTTCCTTCCAAGTATAATGTTGGATTTTTATTAGGGCAGTATATATTTGCTAGTGTACACTCTTCCCTGCAGATTTCCTCTTAGGAATAAATAGCGGCTAGCTGGATCTACAAGCTTTTCATCCAGAGTCAATTTTATAGTTTTTTTTCAAAACCTATCGCCACTTCCTTTGCCCGTCTTATTGGAGAGTCCACATAATACCAGGTTGACAAGACTTTAGAGTATAACTTAGTATTTGAATCCTGGGATATATGTGTCTCCTGAAGAGACACCACTTCTATAGATCGTTTGTGTATTTCCTTTAAAACCTTATATCTTTTTGTTGGAGTATTTATTACTTTTAAGTTATGTCATAAAATTAACTGTGTTCCTTCCTCCCATTTTAACAGTTTTCCTACATGTATCCTGTGTAGGGGTAGAAGTAAACACTTTTGGAATATGTAGACCTTCCCTTTCTGCCACTCCCCCCAAGGACCCCACTGACCTATTTTTGGCCCTTGAATCAACTGTGGCCCACAGCCACAGTTGATTCCTTCTTCTGGGTAAGGCTCTGAACACACGCCCATTCAGACCCTGGTCTCCCATGTTGGGTCTGAGAGTTAGTAGCATGATTGACCTCCCTAATACCCGCCATTCTTCCCCCACCTGCCCCATCTTCTTCATGACCATTCTCTTGCCTGTCTAACACACATCTTCCTAACCCTTGGGGCCTCATATAACCTATATTCAGAAAAGGGATTTTATCTTCAAGACATTACTGGATGTGTGTGAGGGACATGGAAGCGTGGGAAAAGGCGAGAGAGCAGAGGAAAAAAAGAAGAAGAAAAAAAGTGGTTTTAGAAGTGGTTGGAGTGTAGGGGAATAAAGAAAATAAATAAGGAGTTGGGAGAAGCAGAAAGGGAAAAGATAAGGAGGGGGAATAGTAAGATAGATTAACAAAAATGAAATATGAACAATGCATATCCTTTTATAGTGTGTACTCATCTCAATTAACAGCACTAGGGTGTTTATTTTCTAAAGCTGGAGAGTGCAAAATCAGGCTCA